AAAACAGGGATCCATAGTACATATTGATGAATGGAAAAGTTATAACTCCCTGTCATCCCTGGAATATATTTATCACAGAGTGAACTATTCCAGTGATTTTGTGGATCCACTTACAGGGACATACACAAATTCCATAGAATGATTTCGGGGGAGGTTGAAAAATAGGATTAGGGCTGTGAATGGATTTCATTTATAGTCATTTGGATGAATATATCTGCAGAATGAATCTTCGTCACTTAGCCAGCATCAACAACAAAATTCGGTCGGATTTTCAATACAAACAACGTCAAGTCAGTCAGCTCTTCTATACGGATGAGAAACTTGGCGGGTGGGTGGTCACATAGAATATTTCCACCAACAGCCTGTTGCAGACGTTACCTTTATTAACAACTAACTGTCTTCGCTGGCTCAATACTGAAGATCAGATGGCCGGACCGGAAAGAATCACCAACAACAAGAAACTATGGCTGGGAACAAACGAAACAAGAAGCAATCGCTGAACAACAACGAATATTCAGGAGAAAGTGATGGGGATGGATTGGACACTCGTGGCTGAGGAGGCCGCCGCTGGGTGACATCGCGCGCGCGTCAGGCCATTTCTCGAGTGGAACTCGAAAGGGAAGCACGCGGTGAGTGTGTTGTCAGTGGAAGGGTGACATGGAGGAGGAGATGGTGTGAAGAGGAGTTGAAAGAGTATGGACTATAATGGATGATGCAGGTGAAAAGTAGAAGACAGCAGAAGGAAGACAGAAGCAAGTGGAGATGTGTATTTGAAGGCCTATGTTCCATACTGGGAACCCAAGGGAACAATGATAATAATATCTGCATATAATGTGGGGTGAGTTTTCTATTGACACTCCAACGCTAAACTGGGTGGTGTTTCTGTCACATGTTAGAAAAAAATACCTTGAATAACAGTTTTATCAAGTTTTATGCTTTTTTTCATGAACATACGTTTTCTATAATCGAAGATCCCTCTTTCACATGATTGGTCCGTTGAAGGTCGTTAGCTGATTGGTGGTGGTTAGTGATGCTTAAAGTTTAACTTTTCCATGGATGGATATCATATTCCCCTTTCTTTCAATACCATTATGACTCACTATTATTCTCATGGTTTATTAATGACGAACCAGACTGTATGCCTGTCATACAATAAATATTGTAGGTTATGAGAGTTTCGCTTATCCATTTTGGCTGACTAATAATCCAATCACAAGGACTCATTAAATCCTGTTTTTCTCCCTCTCTCTCTCCCTCTCTCCTTAATTTTGTTTTTCCCTTCTTTCTTAGCAAAAATTGTCCCACAATTTCACTATCACATCATCATTCACTATTTATTATTATTATTATTATTATGTAATGTATTCTCACACATAGATGACTACACAAATCCTGCCTGCTGCATTGTCTTTGTTGTTTCCAATGTATTACAATTAAGTGGAATGATGTGTGTCTGTCTGTGTGTTTGTGTATGTGTGCGTGCGTGTGTGTCTATTCTACATCGCGAATGGTCAGAGTTTCTATAAGATTATAAGTTTCCAGACCGTAGGTGTTGCGAACTTTCTGGAATAATTTGAGCGCTGAGTCAGTCAGATTGATTCATTCTATATAAATTATTTAAATTAATCCCAGCGTGTTTAAGAAAAGAAAAAAATCAAAACAAGATCTGTTTTCTGAACATTTCGCTGTGTAAGCTGCCACAGTCAGCTTCTTCAGCAAATTTATTGATGTTACCAACAATCCCCAGTCATTGCTTCTTAGTGATTTCAAAGACACACCTACACACATACATATACACACAAACCAGACATTCTGCATTTCCCTTCCGCAAACTAAATATAAATGTTTTCAAGCATTGATGATAGGTTTTCATTCGAACACCCCTCCCCTAGACTCCTTTTCCAATCCAATCTAATCCCTACGTCAATTATATATTGTTGGAATCTACCAATTCTAAACACTAACCATGGTAACGTCTCTGACTGCAGTACTCCTCACTGGGTAATGCGGTTTCGAATCCGCCTAGATGGGTGGGACATGAGCTGTTCCTTCAATGTGGTTGCAGATACGCCTTGCTTACTGACTGACTGATGAGTGCCAACTCTCTCCCTGCATCTCATCAGGTAGAACCAGAAATCAGTATAAAATAAAATATGCTCGCACAACCAAGTATAGGAACTCAACGATACCATATTTGGCCAGCCCGTGTTCTAAGTGACAGAGACAATGTTAGGCGTGAAACCTATGACTTGCTTTGTTGTTAATAACATAATTTTGGCCCTTGTTATTTCCCCCTTACACTCTCTTATTTGTACTCTATAGTGAACAACCTTCTTAAACATACTTAGCTGCTTAAAATTATTATCATTGGCCTACATTTTTATTCTTTATTCTATTCCTTATTTGTGTTATCTACTGGGTCCGACTATATTATCACTATGATTATTAAAAATTGTCCCGTCATTAACCATCATGTAACATTAGTTTTGTGGTTGTTCTTTTGTTCGGCACTATTTAACTGACAATCTTGTTTGTTATTGCCACTATCACCATCTTAAAAATTTTGTATTATGCATGATTCCTCACACTACCACAACAAACAACCGCATTAGTACTGACAATAAAAGAAAACTACCTGAAATGTTTATCTTATGATTGCTTAGTGTTGTTCAATCAAATTAACTGATCATCTTGGCTATAAACATTTTTTAAGAACATCTCATAATTTCCCGTATGATTATAGCTGTTACTGTTCACCACGCATACACATATCATAGCTTCCACTAACCAATACTGAAATATTTTTTTCATTATTTGTGTTGATCTTCTTTTTTACTCGGTATTTTTATTTGCATTTTTTTGGTTATTTCTGTTTCTTTTTTTGGTTTTTTTTATATATTTTATTTTTTTATAATACTCCTTTTAAATGTACGATGAAATTAGATGCAATATTGTAGATATGTGCTGAAAATTCCACACTGTACCACAAGTACTGTTTCTGGAATAAAGCGAAATTGTTATGTTATGTTAACTACCACGAAACCTAGGTCCTTGCAAGGCTTCCTCAGGTCGATTGCCTCCAACAACTATCTAATATCATCAAATCTATGTGTGCACCGTGATGGTCAGGTAGCCACCTAGTGGCATGGTGGTCACATTGCAAACCTAACTGACTGACTGACTGACTGATACAATTCAGTCTGCACCAAAGAAAAATAAGACTAGACAGGACACACTAATTACTGACCAGTGTTTAATGAAGACACTAAGCATATTCACAGAAAAATCAGTTTTCACAAGATATTCTCAATTCATTAGGATAATTAGAAATAAACCTCCTCCACGTTCCCAGTGAAACATAGAGCTTCAAGCTAGTGACTTGAAGTTTCTGTAGAAGTGGTGATTATTTTTACAGGATGGGGTTGCTAGCCTCATCTGGCCCAACCTTTCCGCTTTACTAGCATTATTTCTGGGTTAGCGAGATAAAGAAAGGAGTGCGTTGGCGGCCGGGGATCGAACCCCGAACCATGCTGATTGTCGGCGAGTGTCCTAACCGCTATATTACCGACGCACGGTACAATTGGACAGTCTGTTAACCATCATCTTATCATTATTATCATCTTACACTCTAGTTGATATGTGGGAGGATTGGCTTAGGAAATCTTTCCCAAACTGGACAGCACAAAAGAGAATTCCATGATTAACAAACACACTAACACATTTTTTTTCGGGGTTAACACCTGTGACAAAGAGAAAGAGACAACAGAAGGTTTTGAGAGGAACATCTGTCACTATGCTAACAAACTACTACTACCTGGCCACTGAAAGTAGAGGTCATCAAAAGTCAGGCTAGCTAGCTGTCTTTGGTCATAGGTGTCTGCGTTCTATCTCCCGTGTGAAGTGGTACAATAGGGTGAGCAATATTGAGGTGTTTAGGCGTCGGTTGACTGCTAGGTAAGTAGGAAGGGAGATGAAAGAAAATTAACGAGGTTGTTGTGAAGTAGTTACACCGATTGAGAGATGGTTAGGACATGTGTTACGCAATTACGCCTAGCCTTCCATCGACTTCCTCCTCGACAATAGGCAATGTTAGCTGACATATGTACGGTCGGGCTGGAAAAGAGTTAGCTAATGGTGGCTTCTCCATCAGTCAATGAAATCCACAACACTTAGTTTAAGCCGACCAGCCCTGTAGGAAGGTGTAGACTTTCTGACTGGTTGGGGTCATTGGGATGACGGTAAAAACCAATGAAGGCTGGAGACAATCGGTGATGATGTGGCTCAAAGCGATCGTTCTCTATGGTTGGCTGGCGAAGATGCATCCACTCCTTGTGACTTATGATTTCCAATGAAACTGTTTTGTTCTTCGTTATTACTATTCCTTTGTCTCACACTTCTGTTTACTGTCTCTCTCTATTATGCATTTCTTCTATTTTCTTCTCTTGCTTTGTGTACTACATTGAGGGAGTGTGGTGCATATCAGTACAGAGTTCTATATCGAAAGCAGACAGACAGACAGTGATAAATTTGAATAAAGCATTAAGAAGACAAATTTCGCGAGATGATATCATTTCGTAGTTTCTTTACAACCGCTTTACAACTAACGTGGTTAATAATAATAATAATAATAAAGTTCATGACAGTTACTCAGTTAAATAAAAACCAAAAGTACATACTAATGACCAATCATATTAAGATAGGTCATGTAGTCCATTGTTGGCGGAGATTGAAGTGTATTGTTTTGACTGTACGTACAGTTTAGGCTGCATGTGATTAATCCCCAAAAGTGCTTCCATCACCTTCAATAACCTTGAATAAGAGTGATAAGTAGTCACTTCTATAGGTGGTATGATGGATGGTACATTTATCGCCCTACACATTTCCTGACCAGAATATTGTATATAACTTTTATAGTATCTTTTAACTATCCTTAGTATTCACCATACACTTTATACAATGATCACTTTTTGATTATTATTATTATTATTATTGATTTTTAGACGGAAGGCAGTCAACGACGATTTACTAAACGTGATGCCAGTGTATTTATGCGTCGTAGTGAATATGGCATCGTCGATCAAGTTATGGTGACATGGAATAACGAAGGGAATAAATTTTGTAAAGTTCGTGTGCGTACTACAAAAGCACCTCAAGTTGGTGATAAATTTGCTAGTCGACACGGGCAAAAAGGGACTTGTGGTATACGATATCGTCAAGAGGATATGCCATTTACATGTGAAGGGATTACACCGGACATCATTATTAATCCACATGCTATACCTAGTCGTATGACAATTGGTCACTTGATCGAATGCTTACAGGTAGGACATGTATGCCTAGAATTTGTATCTGTGTACTTGTGTGCGTGTGTGTATGTGTGGGTGTGTGTTCGTGTGTAATATGTGCAACATTTTTTTTGAATACTCAATGGTATCCAACTGTTGGTAAATAGACCGACAGTATAGAATGCAATTCAAATGTCAACAGCACTCAGCATGAAAAATAAGATACGGATTTTCAACTCCAGTGTGAAGTCAGTCAATGCTACTACTCACTATGCGGATCAGAGACTTGGCCAGCGCGTCATGAAGAGCACTCCAAACAAACTACACACCTTCATCAACAGATAACTGTCTTCGCTCAATACCACTCAAGATCGGATGGTCAGCTGGCCAGAAAAGATCAGCAACAGGGAGGAATCTCTGGGAATGAGGGAACCAACCCAGCAGGAACCGATTGTACAACAAATAAGCAGGAAGAAATGGAAGTGAATTGGAATATGGCCATACCCTGAGAAAACGAACCATCAAGTGAGTGACATGACTAGACAAGCCATTGATCGAGTGGAACCCGGTCGAAAGGGAAGCGGCGAGTTGGTCGTCAGTGCGAAGGTGGGGTGACTTGGAGGAGGTCATGTGAAGAGGAGATAATTTAAGTATGTGGACAGACTTGGAGCCACGTGAAAACGTTGGTGGATAACCGAACGCAATGGAGACGCATGGCTGAATCCCTATGTTCCTCTAGGAATTAAGGGAAATAATAATCTATTCAGAATAAATTAATTATCACGAAGTGTACACATTGGATCATAAGAATTATTAAAAAAGAGACGGTTGCAGCGAGGAAGAAAATTTTCTTTTCGACGAAGTCACCATCAACTAGATAGCTGCACATTCATTCGTATATTTATGATAAATGGATGGGAAAGTTCCAGAATAATTTCCGGTTAAGAGTCAGATTAATAAAATTACATTTATTACAGGAATTAAAATATCATAATAAACAAGGTGGTGGGACGGATAAAGCTAAGACAAAGTAGCATCATAATTACTGAGAAGACTGACATTGATTGTGCGTTTTGAAGTGGGGGTTAGAAATGTAGAAATAACAAAATAGATATACAGGATGTTTGGATAACAAAAGAATCTAGTGGGATCATAACTAATGTGACGAATAATTGTTTATGCAATCAGGGGTTAAATATGTAGAAATAGTAAAATGACAAAATAAACACGAAGTTCGGAAATGAAAATATGGTAGTGTAAATAGGGATTAGGAAAAACTTAAAAATAACATGAATAAACAGGAATTTTGGATAAGAAAGGCAATAGTATAGTTACTATTAGAAGAATTACCTGTTTATGATAGCCATGGCAGGGACAAGGGTTGGACGTACTTCTTTTGGATACAAAGCGTGGGTTTGAGCTTTTGGCATAGCTAGTGCCTCGGTGATGCCCAGATATCTTAATTTCACTCCCTTTGATAGATTTGATCGAATCTTGTATATGATGTGTGCGTCGGTGTTAACTCAGCCTTTAAGGTCACCTATGAAAACGGTCAAGGGCGCTTATTGAAATACACTGAGACTATAGCTATTCATAAACTTAAGTCCGCCTCCCTCACCTGTGTATTCAAAAAGGGTTTATTATTACTCTTAACCCACCTAACTTAGTAATCCTTATTTGATTGGATTACCAAACGTTGTGTTAATCATTCTTAAATCCTTTTTTGTTTTGTCACTTTGTTTAACTTAACTTTTTCATGCATATACAAGTAAATGTGTGAGGGATTAGATTGTTGTTCGAAATGTATAGCGCAAATACATCACATCACATTGTTTTGCAGATAATCTCCGTCTTCTAATTATTTTATTATTTATTTAAAGGCAGAAAAAACTTGATACAATATGGCACCAAGAAACATGCGCCACACAGTAATAATAATAAAACGACATAGATCAAAAACAGAAAAAATATATAAGTAGATAACGCATAAAGAACTTCATCTGGAAGGAAAACAGTCATACTACTTAACGAGTTCAAACAGTATTGGTCAACTATCATCGGGAAGGGAAGGAAGAAGAAAATTTCAACACGTTCGCCATTGATGACTGTGATTCTTGGCCATATCCGATAACGTTTCGAGCAATTGATTCGAGCTATCTCGCGGAGCCTAACCAGGGAGTCGTGACGATGCACCAACCGATGCTAATCTACCACAAAAATCCTTCGTCCCACGACTTCACGACGCCATGGGCTGACCACCCCTCTGCCTTTTCCATCCCAATCCAGGGCTGGCTAGTGAACAGAAACCTGTACGGAAGCCTCACAGCAGCACATGTCTGAGCCACCGGAGCCGGTGTTTCCAGATGACGACAACACTCAATGAATGGCACAGTGGTTAGGACTCTCGCCGACCATGCACATGGTCCGGGGTTCGAGCCCACGCCGGCGCACACCTGATATCTATGGTCGGCCTGCAAAATTTGGGCTACCGATATCCATGCTGAAAATTCCATACTTGTACCAAAAATACAGTGTGGAATCAAGCTGTAAATAAAAAAAAATAAACTCACGTCGCCGAACCTCAGAATTACTCACGCGAAGATGCCATCCATCGAACGCAAGCAATCCTGTGGGGACAGCGCTGGTCGAACACATAGAGCCACCGCACATCCTCAGCCCACTCGGAGAGGCCAGGTTTCACAGGCGTAGAGGAGAACAGAAGGGACTGAAGCATTGTATACCCGACCTTTGACAGCCAGGCTAAAGTCGTGACGGCGGGAGACCAGAGGTGGCTGAAGTTGATGTATGCCACCCTCGCCTTCATTATACGGTTGCAAATCTCACCAGCTGCTGCATTTGGGAACGGTGTACCCCAAATATTCATCAACCTTATTCAGCAGCTGTATGACAACGGCACATGTCATGTGATCCCCAGTGGAAAACTCAACGAGGCGTTAGGAGTAAACACAGGAGTCAAAAAAGGGTGCTTATTATCACCAATGATATACCTAATTGTGGTGGACTGACTGGATTATGCGGCAGACAGTGGAAACGAGAAGACAGGGATTTCCTGGTTCGACGTGAAGAACCTAGAGGGCCTGGATTTCGCGCGTGGATGATTTCTCTTTGGTGTCACACAAAATCGAAGACTTACAAGCGAAAACCGACAAACTGGTCGAAGGAGCAGCCGGCAAAGACAGGACTCCAAGTGAACATAGGCAAGACGGAGGTGATGAAAATAACCAACCAACAAAAACAGCAACAGCAACATCCAGCGCCAATCACCATCAACGGGAGGGATTTGAAAGAGGTGACTTCATTCACTTACTTATCTATGGAGCATTGTCTCAACTACAGACAGTCGGAACGGACGAGGATGTCAAATCGAGCGAGAATCGCGAAGGCGAGAAGCACATTCACTCATCAACCTGAAAGCAATCTGGAAATCTTCGTCACTCAACGTCACATCAACAACAAAATTCGGTCGGATTTTCAATACAAACAACGTCAAGTCAGTCAGCTCTTCTATACGGATGAGAAACTTGGCGGGTGGGTGGTCACATAGAATATTTCCACCAACAACCTGTTGCAGACGTTACCTTTATTAACAACTAACTGTCTTCGCTGGCTCAATACTGAAGATCAGATGGCCGGGCCGGAAAGAATCACCAACAACAAGAAACTAAGGGAACAAACAAAACAAAAAGCAGTTGCCCAACAAATGTACAGGAGAACGTGACGGAGATGAATTGGGCAATCACTGAGGAGGCCGCCGCTGGGTGACATCGCGGACGCGTCAGGCCATTTCTCGAGTGGAACTCGAAAGCGAAACGGCAAGGGTGACATGGAGGAGGAGATGGTGTGAAGAGGAGTTGAAAGAGTATGAACTTACATAGATGATGCAGGTGAAAAGCAAGTACAGTAGAAGACAGACGCAAGTGGAGACGTGCAGTTGAAGCCCTATGTTCCACACTGGGAACCGAAGGAAACAATAATAATAATAATAATTGTATTTTAAATTTCTAAGGCTTGCGTAAAATGCAATTCTAATATAAATTCTGATTTTGTGTGCGTTTTTTTTCTTTGCAGGGTAAAGTAAGCGCAAATAAAGGTGAAATTGGTGATGCTACGCCATTCAATGATGCTGTCAATGTGCGGAAAATTTCAATCCTTTTACAAGAATATGGTTACCAGCACACTGGTAACGAGATCATGTACAATGGTTTCACTGGACGCAAATTAAATTCACAAATTTTCTTAGGACCAACATATTATCAACGTTTAAAACATATGGTCGATGATAAAATTCACAGTCGTTCCCGAGGGCCTGTACAAATTCTTAATCGTCAGCCAATGGAAGGTCGTAGTCGTGATGGTGGGTTGCGTTTCGGTGAAATGGAACGTGACTGTCAGATCGCGCATGGTGCAGCTCAATTCTTACGTGAACGATTATTTTTCGCCAGCGATCCATATCAAGTGTATGTGTGTAATTTGTGTGGATTGATAGCTATTGCTCATCAAAGGAATAAGACATATGAGTGTCGATGTTGTAAGAATACAACTCAGGTTAGTTCTCTCGTGCTCTCTCCCTCGCCTACCTTTTTTCTGTTCTTGTTGTTCAGTTTTATTTTAAACAGGGCGCTGTAAATTTTTATAAAGTCAGAAGAATTCACGTTGACCTTGACGCGCTTTTCGATTACGACGCCACATTTGCTTAGTTACATAAAACTCTTGTTTCTGTGGGAATATCTTGGCAAGATATTGTAGAAGTTATTGTAATTATTTGCCAAATGTTGCATGCCGCCAAGTGACCACCCACAACGGGAAACTTATGGAATCCTTCGAAGAAGTGAAGATGGGAGTAAGACAAGCTGGCTGGCCGGTTCCCTACTATCGCCAATGAGGCAAAGTTAAACTTTCGACACCACTAACAACCAATCAGCAAACGACTTTGAACGGACCAATCACACTAAAGAGGCATATATGATGAATGAAAATGTATATTTATAGAAAAAAAGCATAAAATAGAGAATAAAAAAGTTACATGGGATATCTTTCTCGAACATGTGAGAAAAACATCTCCCAGTTTAGCATGGGACTGTCAATGGAGATGTTACACCACATCCTGTACATATATCCATCCAAATGACCATAAATGAGATCCTTTTGAGATCCACTTAAAGCCCTTATCCTATTTTTCAACCTGCCCCAAAATCCTTCAATAGAATTTGTATGTGTCCTCGTAACGGGATCCAAAAAATAACTTGAATGGTTGACTCTGTGATGAATACATCCCAGAGATGACAGTGAATTGTAGCCTTTCCACTCGTCGGTGTGTATAATTGACCCCCGCTTAACAAGTCTGGTAATAATAGGTATAAGAGTAGTTGCTTTTCTATCTGGTATCCTTAGGGAGAGAAGCGACCTAGCGAAAAAAGTTCCTACGAAATATTAAAATTATCAGCTTACTCTCTCTAGCGTTAGTAGGCTTCAAACATATAGCACAACGATGAACAAACCCATCAGTTGATTTGGTATAGCTTTTTAAAATAATGATACCACCACACAAACAAATTCGCTCTTTCCGACGCAACTCAAATCCAGGAAATACTGGAAAACGCTAACCTCCTCGAATCGCAACAATAGCTTTGTAAGGTCACGCATTAGAAATGAATCAAGAGCTATAAAACATTGAACTGCGTTCGTGAACCTCATTGGATAATTCGACATCGTTCGTGAATCTCATTGGATAATTCACTGATTGGTAGTTAGTGGTGTCGAAAGTTTAACTTCGCCGCCAATGATTTTCCTGATTGCAGTAGATTGGATAATGCGACAGACAGCGAGCTGGGCAGCGAGGAAACAGGCATAAAATGGACCCACACTAAAAAAACACGGAGGATTTGGACTTCGTCGATGTGCTATATATATCTGATTTCCAACAAATTGGAAGATATGCAAGTGAAAAGCAGCAACAAGTTGGAAGAAGAAGCATCCAGACAAGATAGGACTTCAGGTGAACATAGAGAAAACAGAGTTGATGAAGATTCCTGGCTAACAACACCAACAGTAACAACAACGGACAACAGTCAGTCAGCATAAATGGGAGGAACCTGAAAGAAACAATCTACTTCACCTACCCACCTATCTGTGAAGCATCGTTTCAACTACAGGCGGGCGGAACTGACGAGGATTGCATCAAAGCAGCGAGGATCGGGAAAGCAAGACAAGCTTCAATTTCTCCCAAGTCTGTGTGGAGGAGACAAACAGCACTCAGCATGAAAAATAAGATACGGATTTTCAACTACAATGTGAAGTCAGTCAATGCTACTACTCACTATGCGGATCAGAGACTTGGCCAGCGCGTCATGAAGAGCATCTCAAACAAACCACACCTTCATCAACAGATAACTGTCTTCGCTCAATACCACTCAAGATCGGATGGTCAGCTGGCCAGAAAAGATCAGCAACAGGGAGGAATCTCTGGGAATGAGCGAACCAACCCAGCAGGAACCGATTGTACAACAAATAAGCAGGAAGGAATGGAAGTGGATTGGAATATGGCCATACCCTGAGAAAACGAACCATCAAGTGAGTGACATGACTAGACAAGCCATTGATCGAGTGGAACCCGGTCGAAAGGGAAGCGGCGAGTTGGTCGTCAGTGCGAAGGTGGGGTGAAGAGGAGATGAAAACATGTGGGCAAACTTGGAGCCAGCCAGGTGAAAACTCTAGCAGGGAACCGAACGCAATGGAGACTTGGGCAGCTGTAGCCCTATGTTCCTGTAGGGACTACAGGAAACAATGATAATAACATAGACATCATTATGTGTAGTAATTCACAATTAACAACAACCGTTTTTTCTGCCCAAATTAGTGATTTTAAGGGGAAAAAAAATAAGTGGTATTCGATTAATTGAAGTTCATAAATGAATGAATGAGTCGTGTAATATGCTCATTCAATAAAGTGGTATTATACTTTTTTAACACTAGAAGTTAATCTGTAACATTTGTCGGAGAGCATTCATAATAAAGGAATGTTTTTTTCAATTCTTTAGCTGAAAACGTTTGAATAATATTTTATCTGACGGTATTAGGTAATTGAAGGCAGTCGGCCACAGGAAGACCTAATTTTCGTGCTAGTTGGCACTCATCAGTCAGTCAGCAAGGAAGGCGTATCTGCGACCACATTGAAGGAACAGCTCATGTCCCACGCACCTGAGGAGATTCGAACCCGCATTACTCAGTGAAGAGTACTGCAGTCAGAGACGTTACCACTGATAGAATTCAGTCTGCACCAAAGAAGGGACTAGCCACACACGTCACTCCAGTTATTGACTGGTGTCCAATGAAAATAATATTTTATCTCTTGGACATAAAAGATAAAAGCCACACCACATTAGAATTCCGTTTTGCTTAATAAATTTGAGTAAAATTAAGTTATATACATTTCCTCCTAACTTCAGTGTAACCCCTTGACTGTCAATAATTTCATTATACAGTTTTGTTCATCAAAGATTATTTAAAAAAAACGCAAATATTGCGTATAGCGGAAAATAATGTTGCCTTCATGATGCCTAGAATTCATTAGGAGAATCCGAAAACTTTCACGGTTTCCGCCTCGTGACATGGCAGTTGACAGGTAAAGTCGACCGACAAATTACTCACAACCCTGGAATTATAATTGAATGACACAACGAAATTCACGCAAGACTATTGCCCCACTCATCGTGAGTCGGTGCTTCAACCAATCATACGTACAAATTGAATGATTGTAACGTTCCTTCCTTTTGAGTTGAACCTGGCTGTCATCACCCTGCAGGAGATTGGGTCCCGCTGCATGAGAGCTTTGGCTGCTGTTGGTGACATCATGTTGACCACTCACTCGGTGTGCTCGTGATTGTCCTCTGGGTGACGGGAATAGATTACTGTCTCTCCAGTTGATAGTTGGCACCTTCCACATCCGTTCCATCTGCTCTCGCAGATTCCCAACACTTCTATTCCATATCTTCTCATTTATGCGACTACCTGGGCAGCCTTCCCAACTGGCTTCCTACATTGTACGAACATTCCACGTCCCCATTTTAATTTTTGCTTTCATCGAAAGAAGGTACATCGGCCGACTGGCTTCCCGAAGGCTTTCACCAGCCTGCGTCATTTTACTTCCCCGTTTCCAGCTAAAGATAAGGTTATTGTCTATATTTTTAGTATTTTTAATATTATGCGTTGAAGTTTCTGTAGCTATTTGGTTAAGTTTTGGGGTGGAGTTGCTAGCACCACGCCCCAACCCTACCTCCTTATCTGGCTTGGGACCGGCTAAACAACTAGCGAGCTAGTAATCTAGGCTCGGAAATTGGTGGACGTTAATTTACGTCAATGTTTATGTCCTAAATATTGGTCGTGAGAAAAGAACAAGAACAAAGACTGGTTCAGCAAACAACCACAGGAGACTCTGCGTAGGCGGATACAGTTAACGCAAATATGATCTGTTGCCTGGCCGTTGTCTTCTGTTGTTACAGTAATAGTAGTAGTACAAAAATGAAGATTTTCGCTTCAATGATAACTTCATTAGTGAGACATATTGAGTGTACGCACCTTAATCGCACTTTTCTCATTTACCTTTATATCCTTCCTTCTCTTTAGATCTCCTTGATCAAATTACCCTACGCGTGTAAACTGCTATTCCAAGAATTAATGTCCATGTCCATCGCACCGAGAATGATGATTAACAGTCCAGTCGCTTAGTGTGTGGAGTGAAAGAACGAATGCACTGGATAATTCCATTTGTGTGACTATATAATAATGAGTATTATTATTATTTTGTAAATATAAACTTTTCATACTGTATTTCGTCTTCACGTCTTTCTCATAGCCAACCAACCAACCAGTGACACTTATGGTCTAACATTATTTCGTGTGAAAGTGTAAAGCGAATTCACCAGACAGATAGTAAGATAGCTAGCGGACAGATTGGCCAATAACTGCACTGAACTGCGTTGTTTATTGTCCATCTAATCCATCAAGTAACCAACTCTCCGGTATCATTCATCCACAACTGACAAACTTCCGCCCTGATTGTGAATTTAATTCAATCAGTCTGAGGACAAAAGTTCAAGTCTGCGTCCTCCGGAGAGTAACATTTAGTCAGTAACAAAGGCAGCGTGTATCATGTAACTTAAATATAGGGGGGGGGGAGTCACAGGAGTCTTTGTGTGCTTTTGGAAGTGTGTGTGGGCAGTTGTTACTTCCTGGCTTCCCACACCACTGTGGAAGTTGATTGTTTCTTCGCGTACCTGAAACAGGAGAGTGTTAGTGTTGCGTCGTGACTGCAGAGTCCAGGCGACAACTGCTTGAGGCCAGCTGGCCGGTCACACACACAGCCTGTATGAATTGGTTTTTTGGTTTGGTTCTATATTAGTAAACTTTTCGCCGGTTACGAACCACAGTAGGCGAGGTAAGTTGGAATGTACAATTTTTGGAGTCGACCTCTTCTAACCCCATCTCTGCGCAGTGGAGAGACAGCATAGGTGGCTGGCATGCTGGTCATCTGAGGGAAACACCTCATTGCGGCTGTTACATCCTTGTTCCCTAGCAGCGTATGAGTTCACCCACAGAACCCCAGCATAGTGTAAGAAAGATTGTCGCACTATGCGAGTAACTGCTTTTAGTCTAATCGCTGTCCTAACAACCTTCCTGGCATGGTAGGAACATTGATTCTAGCCAGTGTAGCTTGTTGGGTCATTGTGATGTGCAAGCCCGACTAACCACCACCACGGCAAGGTAGCAGCTATCGGCCGAGAGGGATTGTCACAGATTCTTGTCGTGTGTCAATGACTATTTGTCGACCAGTTGCTTAGTTGAACGCGAATGTGTCTCTTCCTTAACACAAGTCGTCAGTTGTTGAAAATCCATGACTTATTATATCCATTTCATGCGAAAAATTCCAATGCTAATAGTAATCAATAAAAAGAAAGAAAGAGAGGTGTAGTGTTCAGCGAAGTGGCTGTTTTTGGTTAATTCATTTTCCTGAACTGTACAGTCACATTTATACACAATTTTGTCTTTAAAGAGAAGGTACTAAGAAAAGCGATAAGTTCTCACAAACACAGTTGTTAATATTAGTCCACAATAAATAAATTCTAATTAAATGCCCAGACATCGTCGTTGAAGCATCTGCACAAGAACTCGGCTGACAGACATGTCAACCTGAGACCGACGACCACTTCGGTCCAATCAATCAATGGACGGGAAAATCTAAAAATTCAATTAAATAATTAATGTGAACCGTTGCACAAGAAGTGGGGTGGCTCTCGTGGCCCAAGTGGTGTCTAGTGGATAACGCTTTGACTGGGCACTGGGTTCGAGCCTTGGTGGGAACACGAGTTCCAAATAGGACGAAATACGCATCCTGGATTCCACTGCTAGTAGTCACCATCCACAAATTAAAGTACATAAAAAGAGTTGAATAAATGGATTGGTTTTAAGTTATACGCTGAATAATTTAATCAATGAGATGTTATTAAAATGCACATAGAAACGAAGGCAAATAGGGAATTATAAAAAACCGACGCATTCTGCCAATAGATATTTAGACTTTAATCCGTCTCACCTGTTAACTGTTAAGGCAGGCTTAGTTAAGTGTCTAGGCAACCGAGCAATAGCACTAAATAGCAAAAGAAAGGACCTAAATGGTGAAATAAAACAGACAGAAGAAGAGGCGTTTGTGCTAAATATCTATCCTATAAAATTCATTAGAAAGATCGAAAAAGGTCAAAAGCAAAATAAAAATAATTATGAAACTAATAGTGATAACATAAATAAGAGAGAATATAAGTCGTCTACTGGTATACCACATAAAGTGGGTATATATGAGACACTCCTTACGTAGGATTCTTAATAAAGCATTAATTAGGCTGGTGGTGGCATTTAAACCTACAAACTGACTCACTCAGGTGGGACAAGCTCTCTAGGCTAAAGGACCGAATTAAACAAAATAATGTATTTTACAAAATACCCTGCAATGACTGTGAGGTCAACTGTTTAGGTCATACTAGTAGACCGGGGGTAGTCAGGTTGTCGGAACATAAGAATCCAGCTAAGGTAAGAATGGTTCACCCCACCGGAGAAGATAAGTCATTTAGAAAAGTGCTCAGCAATTGCACTTCATGCATTAACACACAACCACACAATAGCATGGTGGGAGAGGGTTAAAATTCTAAAAAGTAATCTAGGTAGGTGGAGATAGAGATTGGTTGATTACTGAATCCTGCCTGGTTCATCGAGTCTTCACCCAACACAACACATGCAACAGAAGTGACTCAATGCAAAACCAGAAATATGCATGGAAGATATTATTATCGCCAGTCAGTCAGTGAAATCAGAGGAGGATAATTAATAATCTTAAATTGTATTCTATTTCAATGCAATTCACGTACATCATCACAACATTCTAACAAGTTACTCACTTATTTTGACTATAAAAGAAGCACTCGTGTTATTTCCCATCTGATTATTGTAATTGATCACTCATAACACTCATATTATTATTATTATTATTTCTGAATGTACATTATCCTATATTACTGATTTGTATTCCAATATCTAATCATCAATTCCACACATGTATATAAATGAAGGAAACGAAAAAAGTTGTGTGAGTGAGTGACTTGATATGATTATGAGCGGCAATAATAATAAATTGTGCTCGAAATGGCGTGTGGTCGGATCAGTTAATATTACTGTATAACATCAGTACACTGTGTGACACTTTATCAAAATAAAATCTTATCAATAATGAAGTTATGGTGCGTCGGTGGCACAGCGGTTAGGACGCTCGCCAACCATGCACATGGTCCGGGGTTCGATCTCCGGCCGCCAACGCACTTCTCTACCTCGCTGAACCAGTAATGAGACTGGTAAAGAGGAAAGATTGGGTGTGAGGCTAGCAACCTTATCCTGTAAAATTAAACACTCCTACAGAAACTTCAAGCCACTAGCTTGAGGCCCTATGTTCCACTGGGCAACATGATGTAAAAAAATAATGGAGTTATACTCTACCATTACAGTGAGTGCCCAAGTTTTATACTTACATCAATTATATGTAAGAGTTCCAAAGAAATACAAGAGTTAAGAGAAGTTAGATAGATCAATAAACAAAAGTCAAGACAGCAGAAATCGACATGCTTGTTACCATGAGGTAGTAGAAATGGTTGGATAATCTTCTCTGTCTGACTGACTAAAGCTTCAGCTATGCAAAGAAGACGAGGGCGTATTGACTTTGGAATGTTATTCCATACATTGTAAATTACTCTGAAGGAGGCGTTTGTTGAGATGGAATGAGCAGTGTTGTTGACAAGGTGTTCGATTATCGCACACCCTAGAGAAAGAATACTTGCTTTCTGCAACCATACTGGTTAGTGTTCTTGTGAACCCTTTTGGACGGGATACTCATCGAACCACAAACAGCTCCACAACAACAGGTGGACTGATATACACAAACACAGAAGTTGTCATATGCGAGATCTTATCCTTTGGGCTTTTACAGACCAGTGAGCAACTGAAGAACTCTACCCTCAGCGTTACTGTGAAGAAAATTCCTAAAGAAGCCTAAATTCTCTCTCCTCTTAAGGTCATCATTGAGTGCGTCATCTGTAAAGGTCGAGGTTCATGTGAACTTTTTTCTTCTTTGCACGGAAGACGTCTCTTGTATTCGGCATTTTCTGCTTGATATTCTTTTTTTGTCAACAAATCTTGATGGATATCCGTTTTGCATGAAGCTCTCTTCTTCCAGAGCCTGAGGGCTGAAGATGCGTCAAACGCGAGCCGCCAGAGACTTAATTAGCTTTACGCCTTTACGATTAATTCGAACGCAGCTGCAGAAACTTGTCAGTTGGCTGTTCTACGTGATAACAAGTAAAGAATAATGAGTAAAACGCATTACCATGGTAGATTCAGAGTCACGACCATCTCCTTTTGTATACAGAGAGCTGGTTTATAAATTCGAATTGCACAAGTCTCTGCAATTGCAAGCATCTTCTTGTTTCTTTGTTTGCTGACAATGGTAAATGACTTGACTGCGTCGATATCATGTCCGTAATCTACAAGATGTTTTGTTATTGAGGTTTATTTTGGCACTTTGAACTCAGCTGTTTTCAACCATTTTGGCAAATGCTCCATCATGCGAGTAGACAATCGCCTTTCCGTACGACCTGTGTATTTGCTGTCGTACGGAAAGGCGATTGTCTACTCGCATGATGGAGCATTTGCCAAAATGGTTGAAAACAGCTGAGTTCAAAGTGCCAAAATAAACCTCAATAACAAAACATCTTGTGGATTACGGACATGATACCGACGCGGTCAAGTCATTCACCATTGTCAGCAAACAAAGAAACAAGAAGATGCTTGCCAATTGCAGAGGCTTGTGCAATTCGAATTTATAAACCAGCTCTCTGTATACAAAAGGAGATGGTCGTGACTCTGAATCCACCGTGGTAATGTGTTCTATGTGAGTTTCCTATGAATGTATGCAGCTTCTTTTAATTCCGTTGGCTCTTCTCATAAGTTCAATATCAACAGTCGGCTTCTTTTTTGCTGTTGCAGTTGTTCAGGATCTGCAACACAGTTGATTAAGACCATGACTACCATCACAGATAATGAGGACATCATCCGCATATCTAACATACAATTGAATAAAGTGGGACATTCTTGAGGCTTGAAGTGAAAGAGACTGCTAGCAATGAACTCAGGGTAGAATCTATTGCCAACCCGTCTTTTTATCTGAATGAAGTTAGTGGACGTGAATTGCACATTAATAAGGCCGACTGACTGGTTTCAGAGTAGTACTGG